AAACAAAAAAACACAAGTTGTGTATAGAAAAACATGTGGAATATTTTTAATCATTTTAACTGTTATGATTTATGAGGTTTAATTGCTAATTGGATTTTAACTATGTTAGTGTTTAATAATGTTTTAAGCGGTGGGGGGGAAATGTTGTTTATCGTAATTGTGTTTTATGTTGTAAACCGCCCGGATTGGGCAACCATTGGGTGGTATATAAATAAATTTTATTATTATTGTTATTATTAACATCAGAAAGCAAAGGTGTCACTGTTTCCGCCACCCATGAAAACGTTTTGGATTTTGGAACATTTTGAATTTGGGAATTCTGGGAAAGGGAGATTCAGCCAGTAATTTATTAAGGATGCCTCTTTCTAATCTACCCTCTTGGTCCCTGTGGCAGGCTTTGGGATGATGCTGGGGATGCATCCTAACTCCTCTCTTCCTTCCAGGGGTAGGCAACCTTCCCCCTTTAAGGGCCGAGGGACTTCAGCTCCCAGAATCCCAGGAGCTATTGCCAATATGGGACCATTGGCCAACAGGGCTGAGGCTTCTGGGAGCTGAAGTCCCTCAGCCCTTAAAGGGGAAAGGTTGCCTACCCCTGTGGAGGAATGGAAACACCTGCTCTGCCACTAGATCTGGTTAGAGGCAAACTGCGGAAGGAAGGGTAGGAGGGTGGCATTGCTCCCTTGCACAGCTCCCTGGGCCTATGACAGTCTTTCCCTTTCCCATTAGCTCAGGGGTAGCCAACCTAAGGCCCGGGGGCCGGATGCGGCTCCCCAAGGCCTTTGGACCGGCCCCAGGCCAGTCCTGCTGCCCCCCGCCGCCGCCGCCACCCGCCATGATGATATTGATTATTGTTGTTATTACTAGTTCTTGGGGTTTTCTTGGCAAAATCTCCACAGGGGTTTTATCATAGCTTTTCTGGGGCTGAGAGAGTGTGCATGCATATTTTTTATTTTATTTTATTTTTTTAATTTTTAATTTTAATTAATTAATTTATTTATTTTTGGTGCTTTGGCCCCCCAATTGTCTGAGGGACAGCAACCCGGCCCCCGGCTCAAAAAGGTTGCCTACCCCTGCTAGCTTCTCCAAAGCCCTGGCATTCCCTATGTGTGCTCCCTTCAGGGCCCTGTGACCTTTGAAGACATTGCTGGACAAGAGAACCATGATTCTATGGTTCTCTTCCTTTCACTAGGCAGTTTTGTTTACACTGTTGAAAAGATGTGCAAAGATCTAAGAGGTGACGGGTTTACGATCCTTTGTAGATGGTCTGTGTACGGTTTCAATCAGCAAATTTTGTTCTAATTGTTCTTTCATTGTTTTATTGTTTAATATTATTTCAAGGGGTGGGTGGGTTTTTGGGATACGATTTGTAATTTTACTGTATTTTAATGCTGTAAGCCACCCCGGTTACATATGCAGAGGGGCGGGATAAAAATAAATATTATAATATTATTATTATTATTCTATTTTGCTTCCAGCTAAACTTGTCTTGTTTTTGTTAATTTCAGCTTCTGATGGGAAAGAGAACAGGAATGAAGAATTGTGTGGCAAAAACATGAATTGTAAAGCCAAGCTAGACTGTGGAAAGAGCTTTCGCCAGAGCCTGGGTCTTCATTCCCACATGAGAATCCACACAGGGGAGAAACCATTTAAATGCCTCAGATGTGGAAAGAGCTTCGGTGAGAGAATACACCATGCTGACCACATGAGAATCCATACAGGGGAGAAACTATTTAAATGCTTGGCGTGCGGAAAGAGCTACCGCTACAGTACTAGCCTTTCTTCACATATGAGACTCCATGTAGGGGAGAAACCATTTAAGTGCCTTGAATGTGGAAAGAGTTTCAGTCGAAGTGGAAGTCTGACTTACCATCTGAGAATCCACACTGGGGAGAAGCCATTCAAGTGCCCAGAATGTGGAAAGAGTTTTATTCGGAGCGGAAGCCTTACCTATCATATGAAAAGGCACACAGGCGAGAAACCGTTTCAGTGCTTGGATTGTGGGAAGAACTTTAGCCGGGACACACACCTCGCTTGTCATCTGCGAACTCACACCGGCGAGAAACCATTTAAGTGCCTGGTATGTGGAAAAAGCTTCGGTCGGAGTGGAAGCCTTACTTATCACCTGAGAATCCACACCGGGGAGAAGCTGTTTAAATGCTCGATGTGTGGAAAGAGCTTTATTCAGAGCGGAAGCCTTACTTACCATATGAGGATCCACACTGGGGAGAAACCCTTTAAATGCTTGGAGTGTGGGAAGAACTTTAGGAAGAAACACACCCTTAGGTCACGTCAAAGAATTCACACTGGGGAGAAGCCATTTCAGTGTTTGATTTGTGGAAAGCCGTTCCGACAGAACACACACCTTGGTGCCCATATGAAAATCCACACACGAAAGAAATGAGTTAAATCCTCTAAATGAGAAAATCACATTGGTGGTAGTGTGAGTCTCAGTTTCCATCAGAGAATCCATACGAGGAGCAAACATTTAAATCAGGAGTGCAAAAACAATGTCCATGGGCTGTAAGCAATCCCCAGCATCCAACCAGAACTACCAACTGTTTCCAACCAGAAAAGGATCTTTCTTTTTTTAAAACAAACAAAAACCAAATTGGGTGTCAGGATTACCTGCTAAAATTCCGCAGGAAATTGCTAAATTGGCTCGTACCTTAATAAGTCTTCCTCTGATTAACGTAAGAGTGTGCAGTCAGACTGAGAGACTGATTTTAAAAGACAAGCAGTATAAGAGCCTATGAAGATCAATGCTGAACTAGACTAAATAGGCACTTTCACACCGCACAATTGTAGCACTATATTTCACTTTAAATGTCATGCCAGCTCTATGGAATCATGGGTTTTGTAGGCTAGCAATTCTAGATGTCCCTCCCTAAACATCCAGTCATAGGACTCCATGGCAATTAAAGTACACAACAACACTACCTGTGTGGTGTGAAAGGGCCCAAAGTTTCTTTAGTTCAATCTTACATCTGCCTAATGGTTAGCTGGTGACCTGCATCAGAAGGAGAGAAGAACCGCTGGACTTGATCCCTTTCCCCACTGCCATTCCTTTCTCCTTTTGTGTCATGTCTTTTGAGATTGGAAGCCGGAGGGCAGGGAAATGTTTAAGTAACAATTAGTAAGCCGCTCTGAGAGCATTTCTAAAGAGCAAGGTATAAATATAATTAACAACAATTCCAGTGGATAAACCTCAGTTGAGGAAAACTCTGGCTCACAGACTCCATGATAGACTCAGGGGTTTATCACACAGAGGCAAAGTCTTCAAATCCCTTGCAGAAATGGGATTTAAAACCCCAGAAAAAAAAACTGCAAAAGCAGGTTGGTTTTCAGACCATGTGCAATAACTCGACATTAACCCGGATAGAAAGGTGACAAAACGTATTTCTTTTTACTTTCGAAAAATCCCGAAAGTAAAAAAAAGTGTGTTTTGTCACCTTTCTGTCTGGGCTAATGTTGCGTTATTGCTCATTAAGCCCAACGTCATCTGAAAATCAACCCACTTTTGCAGGGTTTTTCCCCTTTATGTGGATTAATCTCAGACGTTGCCACTAGTGTAGACTCACCCTGAGATGATGGATTTCCAAAATCCAGATGTTTCAGTCTTTTCCCCTCTCTCCTGAATCTTTTCTTTACCCACTTTTTTTTTGAGTTTGTAAATACCGATGAAGTGGACAAGCTTCTTGCATGTGTGAGAAAGACAACGTGCCCTCTTGATCCTTGCCCATCGTCGCTGACCGCCCAGGGAGGAGATGCTGTAAAATTATTATTACAGCTTATAATTAACGCATCCTTCAGGGAGGGCAAATTTCCATCGAGTTTAAAACTAGCGGTGGTGAAACTGCTCCTGAAAAACCCCTCCCTTGATCCCCTGGTAAGAAATAATTACAGACCGGTCTCCCTATTACCATTCTTGGGTAAAGTGATTGAGAGGGCCGTTGCTTTCCAGCTCCAGGCAGTCTTGGAAGCTGATTATCTGGACCCATTTCAAACTGACTTCAAGGCGGGATACGGGGTTGAGACTGCCATGGTTGCCTTAGTCGATGACCTCCGTCTGAGTATCGACAGGGGAAGCGTGACTCTGTTGGTGTTCTTGGACATCTTAGTGGCATTCGATACCATAGGCCATGGTATCCTTCTGGGATGCCTGAGGGAGTTAGGTATTGGGGACACTGCGCTCCAGTGGCTCCGATCCTACCTCTTGGGCAGATCCCAGATGGTGAGGCTGGGGGACAGTTGCTCCTCTGAAAGGGAGCTGACATCTGGCATCCCACAGGGCGCCATACTGTCCCCCATGCTATTTAACATTTACATGAAGCCGCTTGGAGATCATCCGGAGATATGGGGCGCGGGGTTATCAATATGCTGATGATACCCAACTTTATTTCTCTATGTCTCCGACTGCTGCGGTAACTAAGGATGGCGTCGCTCCTCTGGATGCCTGCCTTGGGTCGGTAATGGGCTGGATGAGGGAAAACAAACTCAAGCTGAATCCAGAGAAAACAGAGGTACTCTCGATAGGTACCCTTAGTACTCCGGGAAGGGAGTTTTGTCAACCAGTCCTAGATGGGGTCACACTTCCCCTGAAGGACAAAGTACGC